AAACTCTTCTACCTGCAATATTGATTTAAAACAAAAGAAAAAACTGAACGACCGTTTTCCACATAATCACCTCCAAATTGCACATTACAGTAAAGCTGCACTGTTGTTTACCCAAAAGGTCAACTATTAGGTACTTTCCAAGCGTAAATGAGGAAGAAAAAACCCGCCTCTCGAAAGGTGATTCAAAAACCAGTAATAGTGTTGTCTATTATCTTTCAATAGCTACTGCTTTAAATGATGTCACACAGTATATATTTCAGATAGACGCTGTAGAATTAGTAAACAAAATAAGTGAAGTAGCAAGAACATATGGAACACTGGTTCATTTGCACCCAAAGTGCAAGTAAACCGCCCGCCTCTCAACTTTAAACATAACTCCATTGATGACTCTTCCTCTGCAATTGCTGGTACATTCAGCGGTTACTCTCTTTGCATTACTGTTTATCACAATATGGCAAAAAACGTCATCATGACCCAGAAAACTGTTAGAATAAAGATGAGTACGGTGAAGTATTTGAATTTGACCTGTAATGGCAAAGTTAGATTACAATTAAGCCTTGCAGATGCTTTTTAGAGCCAAAATTATATCATTAAGAATGATTTGGAAGATTATCAAATAGTTATAAACCAATATTAAAGATGTATTATACTTTTTTGCTGTTACTCTCGCAATAGTGGTAAAGTATATGTTTACAAGTTAAGGGATTGTCAGTGATACCAAATTGACCCTCTTCTTTTAACAAAAGCATAGTTTTGACATATGATGTACAAATAATGGCTTGCTGTTAAACAGCAAAGGACCTTAGTGAAGGGAATCCCATATAATTTTGAAGTACATAACTTTTTCTCCAAAAACAATGATCATATTCTGAGTGTTGAATTGAATTCATTCAAAAAAATTTTTGAATATACCGTTGTTTCTGTTTGAAGATCCACGATGCCAATTGTACTCTCTATTTTGCCCATTCAAACACGAAGAAGTCCGACAAACTAAGCGTAAGCTCCGTTTAGAAAGCACTGAAAGCATGCCTGAAAGATTTCAATAACATGCAATTCCAAACAAAAAAAAAAGATTTGTAGTTTAAGAGCAAGGGTATTTCGGACAATAATACTTGGCAAGAAAAAAAAAACTAAAAGAAATTGCGAGGAAAAAAAGTCACTGAGAATCTCAAAGAAGAGAGAGAAATTGTGACATCAGATTAAAAAAAAACATATCCAGTTTCTGTACTACACAGTTTCTCGTCCACGCACCACATCGCATGTTGCCAATAGCCTTGACCATAGCGCTAATGTTCCTCTGAACGAGAACTCTTGTTTACGCTAATGATTGACAAATCGATTATCAGTGGACACTTTTCAGCATGTGAGGCTATATCTCGGGTATAAAAAAATTGATAACGAGATAAACTTGAGAAAGCTAAAAAGTAATAGTACTTACAAGTCCATTCCGGAAAAAAAAC